TAATGGAGTATTTGATCTTCCTCGATAATCAAATTTGAATGAGATAATTCAACGTTTAGCAATACCTTGCATAGTACAGCTTCGATCAGTACAGTTTTACTATAATAGGGTTTCAAAATGTCATACAAAACTAAATTTTAATTCAATAAAAAACAAATATATTTTTATTTAATATCTATTAAAAGGGCGACTGCAGAGCATCAATATACTTGTTGATTATTATAGATTGCACATTCAAAAAGAATGATTTGTATAAATTACAGATTAAGTGTCTATTAAACCTTGACCAAAATTTAGATACAGATGAAGGTCAAAAATGATTGATGCCATTTCCTCTAATATATTGTAACAAGACCGGAAATATAGACATATTATGTAATTTTTACGAAAATGCTTTTCACAGATTTTTACACGTTTTGTTGTAGTTATGTTATTTGATACTATTTTTATTGAAAATTTCGTATTTCTTATATTTCGAAATTAATAATATGTTCACACTCAGTTTCATTCTTATTTCTATTTAAAAAAATGAAAAAAAAAATAGATAAAGAATGTTTGACTTTTTTGTATGAAGTTTGCACTAAACTCTTGTAACATGAAGATTAAACAAAATATGCAATACACTATAGCAAATGCTAATGTTTTTACCTGTTTTAAGTGTATATATAAATTATATTAAATTTTTAACAGATTTGTATTAAATATTAAATCGTTGTAGTATTAGTAATTCATTTTTTATATAATAAAATTTCATTAAATTTTCTAGAAACACGAACTGCAATAAAATCATAGATTATAAGATAGATAATACCACTATGACAATAAAACTTAATAAAATTCCTAGATTTTTATTTATATTATTATATAAACCATTACATTGAAAATGACTGATTTAGAAATGTACTTACATTTTCATACGACGGATCGAATTGGACCTCTTTAAGATCTTTGGCTCTTGGGACGCTAAGCACTTTGGCTCCTTGAATTGCCAGAGCTTGGTAAACCTGAGGATTTACCAGATCCTAAAAAAAAAGAAATAGAAAAAAAATAGAAACAGCAATTGTTAGTTAATAATGAAATATTACGCATGGAAGTGAAAATTGAAATGGCAATTTTACAGTCGACGGAACGGCCTTTGCTGTGTTAATATACAATTACGAGATCTGTTATTTTACAAGCAAGCAGAGCAAGCGCCGGCAGCACAATTACTGCCCGTGTATAATTGTAATAAGTACAATATTTCAATTTTAGAATCGAGATCATGTCGAAAGGATCACGAGTTCGAGGAGAGCTGTGCACCGAGCGCGATAAAATCCTATATTTCGTTTAGTAATTATTGTTATGTGTAAGACTATAGAAGAAATGGAGAGGAAAAAAATAGATAGAAAGTCACGTATTTCAATGCTAAACTACTATTTAACTATATTTTTTGAACCAGATTCACGTATAATAAAGATGTCAGTTATTATATAGTTATTTATGTCCAGTTTTACTACTTATACATATAAAAGTGTTATAATAAAGGTTACATTCCAAATTATATAGATAATAGTTTAGAGGAAATAATTTGATTATAAAAGTATTAAAAAACGCTTTATAATTATGAACAGTTTGAAACCACGATAGAGCGGTTTGAAAAATTAATACATACTAAATTTTATTTCAGCAAAATAAAAATAATAAAAACAAAATTACTTTGTCTACATAAATAATCATTTCTTTTTTTTATATATGTTTTGTACTTTTTAGTTTTATACGGTTTTTATGTCCTCGATTAGTCCAGTTCCAAACAGTCCGAGATAATAACGGAATTGATTACCCGCACTTTATGAGGTATTGATGTTTAAAACAGTCAGGGATAATGGCCGAACCCATCATCCGCGCTATTCGAGAAATTTTTGTATATACTTAGTTAATATTTTATTACGATTCATTATGTATAATTAAATAAAATTCAATGCATTCAATGTAATTAAGTAATATATATTTTCAAGTTTCATTTACATTCAGTTATCTCAGAAAGAGAGCATCTTTGCAAACAAATTCGAACATAATGTGTACCAAAAGTACAAATAATATGATTTTAATAAAAATATATTTTATGATTGATGTAAATAAATTTAATTGATGATTTATTTTGAATATAATTCATACTAATTTACTTTTTTAATTTAGAATTATTTTCCATAATTGTAACATGACTTGAATCAATTATCAAATTCCTAATATTGCATATTGTGTATATACTGTTAATAATTGTTACTATCAGATTTAATTACTATGTATTTTTTAAAGTTTGTAATTTACGAATTATACAATAGCATTAACATTCACTTAATAAATTTAAAAATCATATAATCTTATAACTGTCTACGATAATGGAATTGCAGGCGAATTCCAATCCAGAATGAATAATAAGCAAGAAAATGAAATATTCTCATCTCAAGAAACAGTCATAAATTGAGTAATTTGTGTTAAAATAATGAGCAAATTTTTCCGCGTTTCCATCCAGCTTTGTGCGACTGCAAGTTTCACGTAAATTGTAATTTCTAAAATGAAATTTTTACGTTCTCCCGGTCGGATAAACACGGCGGATTTTAATTATAATCAAATTGCGACGGCGAAAATAAAGCACAAAGCGATTGAAACATTCGCCATTTGACGCCCACACCCGACTCCTTATTTCTTATACTTTTTTTTATTATTATATTTATAAATATACAGACCAGTGGCGGATCAAAATAATAATTTAATTGCTAGGGGTGTAACAATAAAAGTATAATAAATGTTAGATATGAAACGATTTTTTACCAGAATTATTTCATCATTCATTTCTATTAATTAAATACGGTAAACCTCCGCTTAACTCTGTTCCGGTTAACCCTTTCAGATTTTCCGGTAAATACCAATGTTCAGCATAAAACATTAGATTACTGTTGTTTGTATACCACTGAAGGCAATGACCTATAAGAACCAACATGCAGAATAGGCATTTCCATCAAGATGAATGACCGATAAGAACATTGCTCATATTTTCATCTCAGAACCAAAAAGGAAGAATACATATTCCGTTTGCACTGCTCACCTGAACTTCTTATCACCGGAGTTTCTTATCAAAACCTTACTACTCGAACTCCCACGCCCTTGCTTAGTTAATTTTATGCGTAGAATAATTATTTATATTTAGTCTTAGGAAGAACGTTAAATAAACAACTACATAGTCTTAGTCGAAACTTTAAATGAACAACTTCATAGTCCTAAAAACTCAACATCAGATAACCGAAGAAAACATTCCACAGTGAGCCGATTTTCCATCCCTGGGACACGACAGTAGTCTCGACAAACTATAGCAAAAATATTTCGTTACTAACTTCTATCATATTTGAATCTTTTTGTATCCGAGTGACGGTTATTACTGTGTTGTAGGGTGAAAAATAATAGCCTCTATACAAAGAATAATTTTCACATTATTTTGTCTGAAATGTAAATTATAAGATATATCAACTTACTGTATGATAGTTATATGCAATTACCACCACTGGGCGTTTTGTCTAGTTTGACAATAAATGGCATACACCCAATGCAGTTTTATGCAAATTTAAAGTAAATAAACTTGTGAGTTGCATAGGTTGCTATATGAGCACTACCAGATTCAGATGTAGAAAACGGAAAACAAAATATACATGAAAATAATGAAATGCAAGTGAGCAGCAAGTAAATGAAGATGAAGGTTAAAACAACAAAAACCATATACAGTTCCTGTGAATCACAGATATGATAAACTTGGTCATAGGCCATGTTTTAGTTTTTACTACCCATTTATGTCAATTTCGTAAGTGGAGGATTATGTTACATATGAGAAAGTTAATTATATAAACTATGCACTCCCACAACCTCCCACTTCCCTCCCCAAACAATTGTAAGATTTTTGACCCCTTATAATACTTTATTTACAGAGGTAGACATAACAATCCCCGGCACCGATGACGTATATTCACACAGGGCAAATTAGCCCCTTCTCTTAGAACAATATTTACTATTAGGTCAGCCTCTTAGAATATAAGGCGACATTTTTAATATTTTAAATTAGTCCTAGTAACAGTTCTAGCCACGTCTCAGCTAAACTTATATTAGTTCTAGTAACTCTTGAGCAGCAACCTATGCTTGTTAGCAACTGGAAGCTCTATCATCTAAATGTTAAACGGATACTATTAAATACACTGACTTTAATCTAGACATTACCATAAAACCCAATAGGACAATTAACAAAGCTACAAATTATTCCAGAGTATCCTGAGATATTCCATCCCGTGACATGACAGCATGTTTGTTCTTTAACACTTGATTTACGATCGGTCATCAACGTTATTTTTACGTGGGACGCTTACCTCGTTTAACGCTGGAACTTATTACTGTATATCGGCGGCAAGTCCTTATTTGATATCTTCTTGTTTGTAATTATTTAAATCATTTTGAGTAGTTATAATATAAAAATTAATTGTAAAAATAAGTGAAGATTTGAAAGCTGGAGAGACTAGAGAGTATATAGCCCTTATGGACGAGCCGCCGCTGACGCAGACTTGAGTTTACTTACGCCCGTTCCGTTGTTCGCTCTCCTAGACCTATGGAATTCGCACGCATGAACGACTCTCGGAACTATTTATTATTTGCAGAATGCCAAAACGGCATTGTTTTTGCTTTCAACCCCGTCGCCCAGCGGAACGAATTATTTATTGCGCGAAATAATTATGCAAAAGCCACTCTCGTTAACGGACTGCCAGACATTTCGAAATAATGTAATTTAACCAATTTCGTAATTACATGCGAAATTATATTAAGCGAATACATACATACACGTACTCACAAACACACGCGCATTGGAACGGGAGGATGCGAAAACAACGTTCGATTGAATTTAATTCATTGTTTCGTGGTCGGTATTATACAGGGGGAGTGCAAAATAATTAAAATTTACATTATATTTAATGAAATGCTCTGCAAACAGCGAAACGAATCTCGGACAATTGAATTTTAAATTTTCACAAAACACAATTTGTACCGGGATCAATCAACATCATCAATCCATCCGCATTCCTGAAAGCACACATCGAAATCGAATGAAATAATAAATTCCATTGGGGCCATTTCCATTCTACTATTATGACGGCCACAATCAAAACTATTAAACGCCATTTACCATCCTATTTTTACAGATTACTACCTTTGTTTGCTCCATAACGAGGCAGTCGCATTGTTCGAACCAACTTCTATTATTTTCTGTTGATATATACATATACTGGTAACAGATTAGTTTAGTGCAAAAGAAATCCATTAGAAAAATATGATAAATAATAATTTCTCAAATTTTATTTAAACGATCACTTCATAAAATACTATACAGTGGAACCTGTTTCTGTGCGGTTTTTTTTTGTGCAATTTATGAAATCCAACCAATTCCAACGGCGTTAGCACCATTGTAATGTGTTCTATATAGCCTGCTTAAACGATTCTGTTAGTCGATTTTGAACTAATTTATAACAAGAAGACGCGTTTTGGATTAACATGAGCAGCGGTGAATTATATATGTGCATTTTGAAAATTTCTCCATATATAAAATGAGAAATTAAATGTTTTTAAAATGTTTCCATGTGTAATTTAATTTAAACGATCTCATGTACTTCATAAATCTTTAACGCATTTTCTAAATGCGAGTTTCTGTAATATATTATACAAAGTTATTTGTTATATGTAAGAATTTATGAAAATTTCGAATATCCACCTCACAAAAACAATTGCACATATTCTTTCGATTCGAGAAAATATGGCTTTTCTGTGAATACTATAATTCATATTATTTAACCTTTTGTTACCTGAACATAGTTAAAATAAAAAATATTTTTTTCTTGTAACAGACCTAAATACTGTTTCACGTCTCTTTATAATTTAAATAGTGACTTAAAGATACGGGTAAGTAAATGAGGCTCTTTTCGTTCTTAAAAAATGTATTGGTTCTATCGATGTA